TCTTTAGGAAAATAAAAGACCTTTAACAAAAGAAGAAATCGGCAGAGAAATTACGTATTATGGATTAATATATAGTAAAAGATAGAGGGACATAGAGCAAGATTACAAATAAACATCGTATATTTAAAAGATTTTTAAGGGTGCGTAGCGCCCGTGAGAAATAAAAGGTCTAACAAAAGAAGAAATCGGCAAAGAAATTAAACATTATGGATTAATCTAAAGTAAAAGACAGAGGGACTAAGAGCAAGATTACAAATAAACGTCGTATATTTAAAAGATTTTAAGGGGCACGCAACACTTTTAATCAAATGTATTTTGCTTCCCTCAACATAAGGTTATTCTTTCTTTTAATGTTTAATTCCCTTTTTCAACTTTTAATGCAATTCAATTACAAATAATGCTAATATTTGATTTTAACCAAACACATTAAATTTTCAACAGGACGAAACGATATGAGTTCATGATATGATTTGCTGTCAAGTGTATCAAGGTCAATTGAAGTTCTTGGATTGTTTTTATACTTTTTATTTAGTTTTTAGTTGCAACTAAATTATAAGGATCTTCTCTGTTATTTATTACTTTTTTTCAACATATTCTAGAAAAAATACTTTAAATTCTTGCATGTATTATTAGAGAGAATAATCGTCTTTATTTTATGTTTCTATACATTGAACCAATCCTCGCATATAAATATATCTAAAATGTGTAAGTCGCGCGTAGTGCGCCGTAATTAAAAAAGTGTCTTTCGCACGCGCGTGAGGACACTGTAATAGGCATTGCTGTGTTTGAGAGAGTATCCACGTCAACAACTTCAAATTTATTGCTTCCAGTTATGTGCAACCATATCATACTTTCTAAAGCATATACATTGACAATTACAATGGAAAAAAAACTAACACAATACACATTTAGGGGCGCGTGCCCGTGATGCAAAAATGCCTCTCGCACGCATGTTAGTGCGTGCAAAGAGGCTAGTGATTTTATATATGGAAGTGTCTTTCAAAACTATGAACTGAAAAGTTGCGGACTGCGACTCTTCAATAAACAAAAAAAATATGGAAGGTCCCCGGTTTGAAACTCTGAACTGGTAAGTCTGCTTAACTGTGGCCACATGCAAGATAAAATTCCTCATAGCCTCTTTAGATCCAGAAAGGATGGATAACCTTGCCACCAGTTGTCCTCCTTTAAAAATTAAAAAAAAAAAAAAAAAAAAAAAAAGCCTCCGACTGTGCAATTAACGGAAACTTGGCGCCAAGGCCACTTGGGCCTTCTTTGTCTGCTATCAGCATGATATTACGTAGTCGTGCCAGATACGCGTTTAACCGACAGAAAATCTATCAAAGCTGCCATCTTTCTCCAATATTTGTGACCTTCGTGACGTCGAGATATGGTAAGTTATATTTTGCATTAAATAATATTTAGTTACTTAAGAATGAGAAGGATTTGTTATTCCAAATTCTGCATGTTATTACAGAGATTTGTACTTATCATTAAAATCGTTCAAATTATTAATTATTTTATCAAGATTATTTTTGTAAAAAATGAATTAAAACTAATTCGTTTAGTTAATTTATTATAGCAAATACATAAATAGTTGGATTTTACCAATTCTATTTATCTGTTTTTTTTACAATTTGATAACTAAACAACTTTAGTTTTATTTGGTTTTTTTGTAGAGGCGATTTTTAGAGTGATTTATAATATGAATGGTTCTGATCATAAATACACATTTTTATAAATCACAACGAATAATTTTAGTAGAAACTCGTACTCATCCTTTAATTAGCCAAGTATTATTATTTTGCATTCTCAACTTTGGGTCACATAACAAATTCATACTTTATCTTTTGAATATTACAATTTCATACATCAACTTACGAATTCCTTGCAATATCAGACTTTTGTTAATCAATCTGTTAATTTGGTCGCTAAGTGATAATGTGTCAACTTCGGATCTTAAGTTTTTACTGATGTGATGTCAAATTTACGCCATGTAGACAAACAACTAGTTAAAATTATATGAAATTATGAAAATAGAATACAACCTCTAAATTATATTCAAAAGACTTAACATTAGCAGCCCCCAACCCGAGTATGTTAACCCTTCCACTCCTCTCTATCTCCATCTTCCTTTCTACCCCTCCTCCACCCATGCAAATTAAGTTGTATCATTTGGTGCCAATTTCATTTTGATTGGTATCAATTTTGTTGAGATTTAGTTAAAGAAAAATATTCTGAAGCATCAGCTTACAGAGGCACCAACCTGCTCATACGCTGTTCTTCCGTTGCACCTCTGCACCCTTGCACCATTGACCCGCCACTAGACCAATGAGATCATGACCCGCAATCTGCTTGACCCGAACCCGCTTGCTCCTTCCCCACCACCACTACGATTTGACCCACCAGGGCCACCACCAGTCACCAGACCAGCATCAACTGTCGCTCGCCTAAAAGTCACGAAAGTTGCGCCGTCGCACCACCAGACCCGAATTCGATCTTCAAGAAACAACATCAGCCCGACCCGACGCCACACCACTGCTCCGTATTACGAAACCCGTTGATGCCCTGCCATAACATTTTCCAAATTTCATATAATTTTAATTGGTTGTTTGTTCATGTGGCACAAATTTAATATCACATTAGTAGAAAAAATGGGACTTACATTTGATACATCATCATTAACAGTCAAATTAATGGATTAATTAGTGAATGTCTGATATTACAACGAATACATAAATTAATGTATGATATTGCAATGTTCAAAAAATGATATATAAGTTTGTTATGTGATTCAAAGTTGAGACAGTAAAATGCAATACAATTGTATGATGTTAGAATAATAGTTTGAAAGCTAAAGATGTACTGGGCAATGTGCATTACGACAAACGTGGCCGGCTTGTTATCGGCCCATTAATAATAATGCACATACAGCTCCTCATCAAATTGATTAATCACAACTCACAAGGACCAGTTTACTCGGCCCGTGCGTATAAAGGGAGAGGAAAAACTATGTAATCAGTTTGAGGATATACGTCAGAGAATGTGCAAGCTTAAAATACATTGTTAGCATCTTCCTTGATAAATTAAGCTTTTGAGGCTAGTGGTTGTCTCACAAAGTTGAGAAACCAATACGTAACTCTTGGACTAAGAAAACTTGTGTGAGTTGTTCATGTCACGCTAGGGGTGGGCACTTAGAACCGAAAACCGAAACCGAAACACGAACCAAATCGAACTGCACCGAACGGTTTGGTTTTACGGTTTTGAAACAGTTTCGGTTTTCAAACCAAACTGCAACATGGAAAACAGTTTGGTTTTGGTTTTGGCTTTTGAAAACCTCACCGAAACCGAACCATACCGAAAATATTAATAAACATTTAATTAAATGTCCATATTATATTTTATGTTTTAATTGGTTGTTTGTTAGAATCCATACACTTAGTATGAGACTCAACCACACTAGAATATCATCATTCATCACTTTCTTTCGTTCATTAACTTGAAGGACCTTTGTTATTTTATACCATCACACACACATATATGTACAAGGGTGGACTAATCTTGTTATCAAGAGTCGAACAATGATTTAATGAAGTCCACTCATTTGAAGCATGATATCACATATTCTAGTATCAAAGTTTCGCTCACGTTTAATGAATTCAAATTTATTCAACTTGTTTTATGATAAACATTATAAGGGCACCCTTTTGTTGCACAAACATGTTTTAACATCACAACTGCATGCAACATGCTAATTGTTTACATAACAAATGTCTTTTTCCTATTGCTATTAGGAAATGCTTATTAATATGTTGCAAATTGTACATTTTTTCTTAAAAACCAAACCGAAACCGTTTGAAACCGCACCGAACCGAACCAAACGGTTTGGTTTTATTTCGGTTTTAGCTTCAAAACCGCACCGAACTGAACCGCAAAAAATTTCGGTTTCGGTTTCGGTTTCACCCAAAACCGCACCGAACCAATCCGTGGCCAACCCTATGTCACGCGACATGTTGAGTAGAAGAACTTTGATGACGGTACATGGTCCCAAATTTAGTAACAACATTAAGCAAGGTTCTAAAAGACGCTAGGCGCTAGTTGGGTGAAGACTGGAGCTTAGCACCTAGGCATCTAGGCGGATTAAGCGGATTTAAGTATATTTATTATATATATAGTACAAATAAGTGTTTGTTTATACTTAAAACATACAGAATTGTACTGAGATAAATAAATTGTAAAATAGAATGACAAATAAATTATAAAATATTAATGAAAAAATTGAGAACAAGCGTATAATGTGTGTTCATCTACGTATTAAACAAGTCTCTTGTAATTTATTAAAAAAAAATAAAATGCAAAAATGAAAGTTATCGATTTTCTGTTTAAGTGAGAACCGCGACCTAAGCAGGTTTGTGCGGGTTAGGCAAGTTAGGTGGGTGCTTAGGCGGTCTAGCCGGGCGCTTAGACTTGTCTAGGCCAGCGCCCTTTCTTAATGTTAAACGCCTAGGGATTAATCGGGATGGTGACTAACCCTAGTGCCTAGGCGAGACGTAGACAACGCTAGGCGGAAATTTTTAAAACTGTAACATTAAGTTTAAGTCATCTATTGATTGGACTATTCTGCCACTCAACACTACCAAGCGACAAAACAATTTGTCACAAAATTTCTAACATTGTCTTATCATATATTCATGTAGTTAACAAATAAGTTGAGTTCTTGCGTTTTCTAGTTTTAGATTATTTACAAAAGCTTAGAGATATTTAGTTTTTTATGAGTGTCTTTGTGTTTTGTCCCTAAATTTGCGTTTAGACTTTGGATTTCAATCTTTGTGCAAACCAGAAGAGCTAGCTAAGTTGTTATAAATTAGAATAATGATCATATATTTTGATTATTATTAGGAGGAGGAACTACTAAATTAAATGTGGAGAGGGAATTATCTATGTAAGTACGATGCAGAGACCTCGTTGACCTCTTCTACTCTCTATATCTCTGCAGGTTCTCATAATTTGCGGTCATAAAAAAAGGCCAGAGGATTGAGTGGCCATTGGGGAGAAAAATGGCGGGAACCATCCATCACCTTCTTCATGGCCATGCATGTTAGAATTCAAACCCTAGGAAATACCCCATCATTTTTTTTCTTTTCCACACCCTCATGACAAACCCTAAATCAATTCCAATATCATAATTTTTTATTTTGTAAAAAAACAAAAAAAAGTATAAGCTTCTCCTTTTTCTTTCTTTCTTTCTAATTCTTTCTTTTATGGGGGTGTTTATTTTTAATATTTACTTGCAAATCAAGAAATATCGAAGGTGATCATCGTGATCAACATGCAACTTCACAGATTAAGATAAATTTTTTTTAGCTAGCTTCCTTCTTTTTTGTTGTAGATCATATGACCATATGGTGATGATGAGGAATTCATCAAATTCCTTGATAATGTTGAGCTATGTCTTCATGATCACGATGATGATATTTTTATTAAAGCCAAATAAGAGATTGGTCAATGCTGGTCAGAATGATATCGTAGTACTGCCTAATTTTTGTACAACACGTTTAAATGTTCTCCAGCCACCCTATCATGATATACCGAAATCCATCTGTTCATCCCTCGATTGGCACGGCTACCGTATTAGCGTAAGCGATCGTATATTATCGATTATGAGCTAAACCCAATTTCTTCATTTACTAATTACGTTTTTATATGGCGTGACATGACCATGACATGATGTAATATAACAGTTCTTTCAGGATAATAACGCTGTTCTTACCGTTGTACTATCGGGAATGAACGAAAACAGTTGGGTCGGAGTCGGGGTGTCAAAGGACGGCATGATGGTTGGTTCGAGTGCCGTGGTGGGATGGATGAACAGAGACGGCAGATCGGGCACAGTAAAGCAATATTATTTGAAAGGACGTACGAGGAATGATGAAATCATACCAGATAAAGGTGAATTGAAATTCACAAATGTTACACCCACCATTGTTGTCAAGGACCAAATCATTTATCTAGGGTTTCAACTCCAGTTTTCCAGTCGTCTTGATCGTCAGCCCTTTCTGTTTGCTGCCGGGTATGGAAAGCCTGGTGCTAACAACATCCTACCAACGCATAAATATAGAAGCGCCTTGTTAGTTGATTTCCCTAAAGGTTGGTTCATAGGTTGATTTGTTTTCGATCATGTTATTTACTCACTTTCTAACAGTTTAAGCTTTTCGGTAAAGTGGTGGTGAAAAATGGAGCCTTCGATTTGCAAAATATATGTCTTACTATTTCTACATTTCTTTCATTCTCCACGTGCATGATGGAGTCTCATCTTGTACATGATTGACACATTTGTAACAACTTTAGCTTTTGAGGTCTAGCGATAGCCTGCAGTTTACTTTTGTTAGGTTATTTGGGTTCTTAAACATGGTCATTGATTAATCGATATGCTAGAATTTGCAGTAAATTAGCAATATATATGCTACTTAGCACTACAGTGTAGCGTTGTACACTGTGTGGTTGACTTCCGTAAATGGCAAGTTAAGTTTGATACTAAATTATTATGATTGACTTACTGTGTGGTTTAACCCAAATCCTCCCACCTCTTAGTGTAAATGTGTCATTGTACATATATAAAAAACAATATATGTGTTCTAATTATTTGGTCTCTGATGGATGCAGGAGTCATTCGTATAGGGTTTGTAGACAGCAGGAAAGTGAAGATGACCCATGGAATACTAACTATTATTGGATGGGGCATAATAATTCCATTCGGAGCATCAATGGCCAGATATCTTAGGGAGTATGAGCCTTTGTGGTACTACCTTCATTCATCAGTTCAGTTTATAGGTTTCTTTGTGGGGCTTTCTGGTGTGGCTGTTGGAAGGACACTATATGAACTAGTACATGCTGACTTTAACAGCCACAGATCCATAGGGTACATTGTGCTTGCACTCAGTGTTCTTCAGGTAATCCTTTCTTTAATTCTTAATCTCACGTGTTGCCTCAATTAAAATTTTGTTACATTGTGTCCCATATGATGAATTTCATGCATTTTTTAGTCTGAAAAGTTGCATGCGTTTCGCACTAGATCCTTCAAAATGAGTGTGTCTGACGTGTCAATCGATACTTTGAATGTTAAATTAACTACCGCTCAAAAAGGTCTGGTGCAAGTCATGCACAACTTATTTGAAAATCCATCATCAAACCATACTTTTCTATGATTTCCAAAACTCAATTATAGAAAGGATTTTTATCGCAAATAGTTTCTGAAATTGACCAACCTCATCAAGATGGTTCCTAAAATTGAAAATCGATCAATGTAGTCCCTGAAAATTGGTGTCGCATATCAATATATATGGTCATTCCATCATAATTCTGTTATGTGGTGCTCTTTTCTCTGAACTTTTTTATTTGAGTTCTTAAATTTGACTTCCGTAGTTGTGATCACAGCTATGCCAGTTTATCATGAGGCCATCCAGGACCTCCAAGGTCAGGAAGTACTGGAACAAGAGCCATCAATGGGTGGGGAGATCGGTGGTCGTGCTTGCTCTTGTCAATATTTTCATTGGTCTCTTTTACGGAAATGGAGGGAAACCTTTTAAGACATTTTTTTTGTGCGCCTTTTCTCTTTTCGTTTTGTCCCAAATAATTTTGGAAATCCGGCACCTGCTTCAGAGTAAAAGAGCAGCTCTTGCTACTACCGCTGATGAGCCTCCTCTTTTTCAAGTTCCTCCACGAACTTAGCATTAATTCCACTACTATTTAGTAAATTATTTTTATTAAACTTTCTTATGATGGTCGGTGTTTATGTACATATACGAATTGAGATCTTAACAATTAGTGTCATTAAACATCAATCATTTAGCTTTCCGATGTTTTTATTTGTCATCTGATCAACGGGAGAAGGGGATTCGAACTAAGGATGTCTGTACACTGCTAAACCAATATCTAGTTGGTATTTGGTCTTTGTACAATGTTCTTGGTGGTAAGACATGTAAAAATATCAATTGCCTTCCCTCAAGTTCTCATAGGCCAGACGGAGAATTTTGCAAAACTCTATTTGAAAAACGGCAATAAATCAATCCAACGTCAGAAAGAAAACAAGGGTTGGAAAACTTGCTAACTTAGGCCATGTTTTTTTTACTGGACTTTGAAAATAGGAACAAGAATTGGAATCCTTTCCATATAGTTCTTGAATGGAATGAAGAGTAGAGAACATAGATTAGATCATCAATCGTCAATCGCGGTGTTTGATTGGAATTAGGGTTAGGGCTAGGCTTTATGAGGATACACAAAGTAGGGGTTGGCATAAAAACAGTCGAACCGGAAAACCAAATTGAACCCGTTTAAGAAAGGTAAAAAATCGCGTTAACTGAAAAAAGCCAAAACCGGTTCAGAAATTGAACGGAACCAAATAGATCAAATTTGGTTCTAGTTCTTACTTCTCAATAATCGGTTTGAACTGAACCAAACTGGCGTTAATATAAATTAATTTAAGTTATAATTTTACATAACTATCTGTTTGGACCCAAAATTACACAATCGGCCCGAATGATCGAAGTTGTTGAGTGAACGAAGTTCTAAACCTTTAGGTAATTAAGTCAAGATAATTTTGGTTATTATTAGGAAATAATATTGTGATTTTTATCATAATAATTATCTCTTAATAATATATTGAATTATCGAGAGCACAGTTGGGTGATAAAGTCGTGGTGATACAATGCCGTGTGGTTTAATATTGCTGCAATTTCGTGGGAAGATAGCATGACTGTCATGAAGGGAGTCAGAGTATGGCAGGATGATTATCAAGTTCAAAGACTAATCAAATAATGAAGCAAGCAGTACAGTTCAAATTAATTTGGGATGATTGGCAGCGGACGTGTAGATTGAAACAATTTGGAGTGGAGATTAGCATATGGGATTTGATGATCTCCAAAAGTAAAATCATGGATAATGATGAGATAAGAAACCTAGGTAGGCTAGGCTTTTTTGCATGGTGATGGGTGTTGTCAGATTGAGTGCAAAGTGATAAGAATTGATGGTGGGAATACAATATGCATACCGTGTGAAAGGGTATTTCAAGATTTCAAAAGGACACCTGTTGTTCCTCTTGTAAAAGTCTACATGCATAAGGAGACTAGGGAGACTTTTGCTGAAATATATTAAAAATAATATCAGTTATTTTGATATTGTTTTTGGGATATTTGGAAAAAGGTCTCTATTGGATTGGCGATCAAGGAGACTCATTATAAATACAAAGCTGTAAGTAACGAAAGGCCCTCTCCAATTCAACACACAAACTGGCCTGCGCAAACCCTCGCTCTACACGAAATCTCTCAACAACCTTGAGATTTTTATTTTCTTTTTCCACCAACACATCTTCAGTTTGGATAAATAGCATTGTGAAGGCAACTGGCGAACATTTTCAATTTGGATAAACAACACTGTTGCTGTAGAATTAGCCGACCGCGGAGCACCTTTAGTTTAGATAAACAACACTGCATCGAGGCCGATTGGTTATCTATACAAGTCTCGATCGAGAAAGATTTTCGAATCCTTATTGGCAGAGGTCATCTCATTAGCCTTTTCGGCGAAGTGAGGTGTTACCAAGTTACTACATTCGGCACCCTAAGAGCCGAATTTGATATTGAACTTTACAGAACTAGCAGCCTTGTCTTCAGGCTCTAGAACCTGTAGGCCGAGACGTGTTCCTTCCTCGGCTGTAGTCGCAAGATCAAGAAGTCAGCATTGCACCCAACACAACATCGATAAATTTTACTCGCCGGCCGAGCTCGGCCGTCGAGTTGGCACACCCCGCACACAACCGAAGGACGTAGTTAGCTTATTAATTACTCAGCCTGCGTGCCACGTAGACTTGGTAGTTTTTAAGATCAACATTATTATACCTGACTTGCATTTCCTAGGCCCAAACCTTTTAGTCTATTCCTCTCTAAGCCCAATAACTAAAATAAAAAGAAAGCCCAATAATCCAATTTAATTTGCAACCCTAAGTTCTCCTTCCTCATCCATTATCCCAACCCGCAGCCTCCATCTCATGATCCCACCCCACCCCTCCACCCAAAAAAAAAAACATAAGTTTTCTTCCCTATCTCCAATCCTCCACCTTCCTTGCATGCACATCCGCCATGAGCAACCCCACTCGATTTGCTTCAATTCAAGGAAAAAAGATAAGTCAATTGGTGGTGATGGCTGACCTGTTAGCAGGGGCGGATCCACAGTGGGGTCAATGGGGTCACACGACCCCTTGGAAGCCATGGAAATAACCTTGGAGCTGCTGGTGCGACCTCTTGGAGCTGCTGGTGCAACCTCTTGGAGCTGCACACCACGTGGTCGATGAAATGTCTGAAAGAAGAAGAAAGAGTTCGCTTGCAGGTTGAAGAAGAAGGAGGCTGCTGGCGTGTTGATAGCCTCCTCGAACTTTGAGAGAACTCACAGCCTCCGGTCTCGACCGAGCAACAAGCAAAATGCCGAAGCAGATCCATAAGATCAAGGATTTCCTTCTAACTGCAAGAAGGAAGGATGCCCGCAATGTCAAAATCAAGAGGACCAAGGATGCTGTCAAGTTCAAGGTTCGGTGCTCCAAGTACCTTTACACACTTTGTGTGTTTGATTCCGAGAAGGTCGACAATTGAAGCAATCTCTTCCTCCAGGTTTCAACGTTTAGGACCTTTGAACAAGGATTTTGGAGTAGCTGGTCGCGCTATCCTACCAAGACTCAATGAAATGACGATATGCATGCCGTTTCTGTTAAAAAAAAATTGCGCGCTGCGCACTATCCTTATTGACCCCCCTAACATTATTTCCTGGATCCGCCACTGCCTGTTAGATCAGTAAAAGCATCCGACATGCTTTAAGCAACGTTTTAAAGATCTAGAATAGGTCTCACTTCAGTTTCAGATTGTGTAGTACAGGGATCTAAATGAGACATATTGAGATTCGTCCACAACAATTCATGTTGTTCTACATGAATGTTGACGTTCTTATCTCCCTTTAATGGTGGAAAGACTGTCTCATTAAGGTGATAATCCGCAAAACGAGCAGTAATGATATCGCCTATCAAAGGTTATGATCATAACAAACATAGATTCCCAATCTTTGCTAATAACCAATTTTTGTACGTAAGGGGGACACAATTAACACGTAGACCCTACAATAGATTTCGGGCTTGTATCCAGTTATAATTGTAGTGTAGAATAGATTGAATAGAGATGGGTCTCAGGCGAACCAACATGGATGTGTGAAGTGATCTCGGTTCAAGGTGGTCGAGGCGAGTTATGGAGTTCACTTGGAACCCTAGGTCGAGGGGAGTTATGGAGTTCACTTAGAACCCTAGGTTGCGGCGAAGATAGATTTCTTGACATCAGGGGTTGCAGTGGATGGCTACGGGTGCTCTATAGGTGCACCGAGGCTGTGCTCAGCGCTTGGTGACGATCCACGAGCTCAATAATATTGAGGTGGTTGGCGGCGAGCATCTGGCTCGCGACTATGGTTGAAAACCTAGGAGAGTTGAATTGAATCTTGAAATATCTGGTGAGATTCTGGTTCGAAATCTCGACCACGTGGTCAGGGTTGACTGGGATATCGTCGGGGACGACTACAGGTCATTGGGGCTGCAAGGTTTCACAAGAAAACATGAACTAAGGGGCTGGGTTTCGACTGCGGGCAAAGCCCAAGCGGTGGCCTGTGTCCGAGGATAGGGACGACGCAAAACGACGCTGTTCTGGGTTTTGGATGGGAGCAGTAAGGCTCCAGCAGCGAGCCTGGGACGGCATTAGGCCATCGTTCGCGCTTGTCAGGGTGGAAAAACCCTAATTTTGCTTCTTTTTCTTCGGTTTCTCACACAATCATCAAATTCACAACAAATATAATATATAAAATAGGGAACTTTAACGAAAAGCACCCGGTACTGTTCACTTTAACGAAAAACCACATTTTTACATTAAAAAGTCAATCCTGGTACTATTCACTTTACCCTTTATTTTGTCCTTATCATTAAAACTCAAAGTTTTCAAGCCCTTTTCATTAGTTTTCCTTATAAAATCAAGCCCTTTTCATTAGTTTTCCTTATAAAATAATGTGAACACAACTTAAGCAGAATCTGAAATTCAAAATGTCTAAAATTTGGGGTTTATGCATGGTGGTGAATGTTTCATGCAATCCAGGTTGAAAAAATATGGACAATTTGGATACTTGGATTGCATGATGAGAACTGTGGACTGGTTTGTACCAGAAAATACCTTTCCGATTCCTTAGTGCAGCTCCAAGAGAGCGAGATGCGATTGATAGTGTTGTGGCCTATTTACCGAAGGCAAAGAAAAGGGAAAGGAAGTGGCCTGCGGCAACAGAGAGAAAAAGAGAGAATAGAGCTCAGGGAAATGGTAGATACGCTTCCATTGTGCCAGTGTTTTTTATTTATAGTAAACCATGCATAAGGAGAGACATACTTGCTCTACAAGTAATACAACACCTAATAGGATAGAATCACTAATTTACATAGGAATCCTAAACCAAATCTACCAAGGATATTCACCATCACACAATGTTAAATATTAATATTACAATAAAGACCCATTTTTCAATTATAGAGAGATAAAATTGTAAATACAAAAGCAATAATCATGACTTCACCTACCACATGTAGAGAAGCTCCTGCTTATGAAGCCTCAACGAAAACCTCCGTCTTAGCATTATGAAGCCTCAAGAAAACCTCTGTCATAACGTTTGATCTCTTCTCATCCATCGTGAAACATCCACAAAGCCCCCAAACGGCGCAGCTACTGTAGAATCGTTCTCCCGTGCTTTTCCTTCCATTCCCAAACCTTGGCCACGACTCCTCGCGGCTGTTGTCATGTCTGGTCAACTGTTTTTGCCTCATGAGCTTCTTTTCCACAACCACCTGCATCGCTATCCCTGCATGATCCATTCCAGGCACCCGCACAATGTTATAACCGGACATTCTCTGCCATCGAACCAAGTGTCCTTGATTGCAGCAGTTAGAGCACGGCCTATGTGAAGGGTACCTGTTGCATGGCGGCCAAACAATCTTAAACGGAGGCTTCAAGCTGTTGGCATTCGCCGAGAAGAACCCCCTTTCTCCCACCTCTTGTACCATGACTTCTCTACGGCCCAAAGATGGTACCTTTTAGTCATAGGACTAGCCAACCTTTTCTTCTCACCTGACAGAGTCTCCGGGTATTCTTCGTCTTCTTCGTCCCAAGTCCTTGCATTCCTCATCTTACTGGTCGAAGTAGAAGCAGCAGCCCATGCTTGCTGCTGCAGAGCTTTGTCATAAGCTTTCCCTTTCTTTTTTTTTTTTTTTCTCAACTCTCTTTTGCCTTCGCTTCCTCCTTGCTCTTCAATTCCGGAACCGGGAGACATCACAGGCAGTGGAGACAGTGTTGAAGGCGGCAGATCGAAGACGATATTAAAGGCAGGAAATCGCTGGGTTGAAGGGAAATGGAAGACGATTGCGTAGGGATGAAGAAGGAGATTAAACCCTAGTTTCAAACTATCCAACTATGCCAAAAACCCTATGGCTTTTTCCTAGGAAGTGAAGGAAAATTCCAATCATATGAATAGGCCCAGGCTAATCTCTTTTTTTCCTGCTAATGTGTTACTTGCCAATATAACCAAAATATAAATTGTTCCTCATATCATGCTTAATTAATAGATTCCGTCAAGCAAAATATTAATGGCTCTTCTGATCTGGTGCAATTGCCATTGACGGAATTAGCCGCGATTCTGATGGCGGCTGAGCCATGGGCGATGTTTTGCTCACAGCCTTCGTGTTGAGAAAGTGTTCCTTGGGATTGACTCTGCACTTGCCGTGAACCTTTATCGCGGCCATTGCGAACACCCTGCACTTGCCGTGAACCTTTTTGGCTAAAGATTTGGTGAGTGATATCTTAAGCAGCATCAACTTGGCAAAAGTGAAGCAGTAAATCAAATAATACACATCTCCGCAGTTACGAATCAAAACTGAGGTAAAAGATTATTAGAAATCGGTGAAGAATTTTATTGAGTAGAGTAATAAACACTAGCAAAAGATTTCACTCACCCCAAATGGAATTTAATTTTATTCTAACAATAATCTCTACTTTCACACCACTCTTCATGTGGGCGACCTACATTGCCGGAAAATCAAGGAAAACAAAAACTTTGATTAGTTGACTCCATAGATCCACTTCTCTTGGTTGCTGGTGTAACTAACCAACTCACTTGGTGTAAACCACAAGTTGATTTCGTCCTTGGCAGTCTCTGGACCATCGCTGCCGTGGATGATGTTTCTGCACGTCATTGTGGCATTGTGGCATCGAAGTTAGAATTGGAGTGAACAATACAGAGAGATTGAAAACTAAATAGAAGATAAAAGGTAACTGAATGTAGCTTGAGAAGCGAAGTACTAATGCAATAAAATTATCAAAAACTCAAGATCAAAGCTATTACCTTCCGACAACAACGGCTAGATCGCCTCTGATAGTTCCAGGTTCTGATTTTTGGGGGTCTGTAGCTCCAATAAGTTTTCTACCATACTTGATCACACCCTCTCCTTCCCAGACCTGCAAGAGTTAGGAATATGAGATTCGCCAGATGAAAGGATATTGTCATATCCAAGCATATGATTAGTCCTACTAACCATTGCAATAACAGGGCCGGAACTAAGGAATTCACAGAGGCCACTAAAGAATGGCCTCTCCTTCAGATCATGATAATGCTTTTGCGCAAAATCCTTTGTAGGAACAACCACTTTAATGCCTACAAGTTTAAAACCTTTCCGCTCAAATCGAGATATGATTTCTGCAATCTGGAATCAAAGAAAAAAAAAAGGCTTAGCACAAAAAAGGTATAAAACATGTCATGGAAGCCATAGCACATGCTTCAGGGAACAATCTTAGGTCAAACAGTTAACTTACCAGTCCTCTTTGAACTCCATCTGGCTTGATAGCAATGAAGGTGCGTTCCAACTGATTAGAGGATGAAAAACTTGTAAATAAATAGAATGAAAAGATGTATTAACACTTAACAGTGAGAAAAAATGGCACAGAAGGTATTCGAAGTACCTCTGCAGCATGAACCTCCTGGTCAACAAGAATGTAAGCTAGAGAAATCGGAGAAAAGAAAGCAAGGATGTGTTAGGATTTAGTTTGTAGAGACTGAAATTAAAAGAATCATCCTGGCCATGCTATTACAAAGATTTTGTCTAGTAACTTTAATACCAGAAAATGCACGAAAGCTTTTCAAGTGTGGATGTGCATGAGCACGTGAGAGAGACAAGAAGACAGGAAGGGGAAGTAGAGAGAGAAGAACCCATAAACATAAATAGCACTACATAGAATTTGATTAGTGCAGAGGTTTGACGGTAGGTAACATATCTTTCGGGGCTCATGTATAATGTCCGGTTGGAAGAAAATAAAGAAGAAAGTCAAGTCAAGAAAACATCCCAAGCGACACAATTCCAACCCATTACTATGCTTAAGCACAGTATAATTATTGTTGAAGAGGATCCGGAAGCCACAATGCTAAAACTTGGGCAAGGGACAAGGCCCCTCTTCATTTGGACCCAAACTTATCGACATCAAATTTTTAAGATAATGTACTGTATTCTTCTAACATCCAAAACCATCATGTCCTTCTAAACTGTTTATATCACATTTTTGAAACATAATCTAACAATCTCAAAAACACGATTAGACAATTAGAATAATTGCATTAGGAGACCAGATATGCATGAACAGCACTAAAAGCAGATTAAAAAACAAAAAGAAAAATCATATCATGATAAAATGAGTAAATGGAAACTGAAATAAAGCTTTATTCCTCTATACCTGCGGCAGGAATGGCAAGTGCTCCAGAAATCCATCCTCTAGATGCATTGTCAGAACCAGCTCTTCCAAAACTTGAAGCAAACAAAGGCGCCTTCGAACCCAACGCTACTGCTGCAGCCGTAGCTACAGCTCGCCCTTCTGCAATATGGACAACATGGTACACGATAAAAAAAAACTTGCACTCCGGTTTACACAAACACAAGCATCATCCTAAATTTTTCGTGGGTCACGATAAAAAAGTGAAATAATCACTGATTTTTGATGTGGGAAAGGCCTAACACATACAAAGCCACGACCTTTATATGTACAACAGTTGATAGAAAGCAATGCTGCAATTATATGCACAACAGTTCCTACTTATCAATCATGGATGGAATCAAAAATCAAAGAATCAGTACATCAACCGTCGGTAGGTGAGTTCTACAAGATCGGTGTCCCAATACGTGGACCATCCATGTCAAATCCATAGACGACAGATCAAATCAAAGAAGCAAGCAAAACCCAATAACAATTTCCCAAAAAAAGAAAAGAAAAACAATGATTCATGTAAAAAAGAATATTTCCTTTTTTGTTGTTTTTGACGATAAAGCAATTCATGGAAAGGTAAAAAAAGTTGAACCATCCAAACAATCCAATAACTAGAAAATAATCCAGTCATTTCTTAGTCAAGCTCGAATTCTTATTCAATTTCCATGAAAACAAACAGATGGCGCATAGATCATCGATCGAGCTCCGAATTTGTGAGAATCAAACACTTGATTAAAATCAATAAAGTAGAAAGCTGAAACGAAAAACGAAACGAACAAGTAGAAATCAATGCTGAAAAAATAAGGTGAAAACAGAGAGGAGATGAAATGTTACCGGAGTAGGAACGGGAGGAGGCTTTGGGAGTAGAGAGCAAGGACCTCGCAGCTCTGGAAGCGGATCTGCAAATCTGAGACCTCATTTTCTTAGTTCAGCTCGGCTCAGATCAGAGAGAGAGAGAGAGAGAGAGAGAGAGAGAGATGAGAGAGCAGGTTAGGGAGTGAGAGAGCTTTAAGCTTGTGGTTTAGTCAAAAAACCTATCCGAAGTACACGGAACGAATGCCAACACGGGTGCGAAATTGCCAATGCGAAACCATGCGTAAGAGCCACCTACCGGTCTATAATTGGAAGGAATTGGCCCATTTAGGAACTACGACTTTTAGGATTATTATTTAATTAATACAAGGGTATACGAGCCACTTAGTATTGCGGTGATATTTTTCTGAATTTGTAGAGAAGTCATGGGTAATTATTATTGGATTTCGTCTTCATCCTCAGATGTATGTGGATTTGGTTCTAAGAATTGGTGCTTTTATTGATAGTTGAATTCATATTTCCCTGGCCAGCGACTTCTGCCACGAGTGACAATGAAATCCAGAAGATCTTGAAGGCAGAGCTTTGATTGATGCTCTAAAAAACAAATATTCTGCGATTCGAGACAACCACCAATTCTAGTGACCCACACAAAGAATACTTTATGAATAGAATTGTTGTCCTACTATCCATGATCAAGTCCTGAGTCATCCTAGAAAAACACAAAAAGGAAGATTTCTAATACTTTTAGTTATTTTCTTCCAATATCTTATTTTTTTGAAAAGTTTAATTCGCTTTAGAGTGAAACAACTAAGAACACAATCTGACTAATTGTTATCGTTTTGCAAGTTTTGCAAAAGAGATATGTGTTGATCACACAACCCTTTTCTTCAATGTGTCTGTGTTATTTTGCTGCAATCTTATAAATCCAAGTCCATGCCATCATATCAATTCCATCAACCATTTTGGTAGAGCTAGTAACTCTGACGACGACACAATTGCTCCGACGAGCATAGTAAAATCCCAACATATGAAAAAATTCATCGGCAAGTCGCCCCTAGAAAGAGCACAAGCATCAATTCCAAAATGCAATGATCATACTTCCAAGCCAAGAAGCAAATGCGGCTTTGGCTCCGTTCGAACCAACACTTCATCGCATGTTCGACTCATAGACATCTCGTTTAAAGTCTGCAATCAGCTTTTCATGGAACTCATCCTAAGTCCATTAACACTTCGACTAGGGTAAGTGTTCGTGAAGCTCTGGGAGCAACATATTTGTGCCTTAAAACTCATTATGCGCACTCGAATGACTTTTGGTGAAAAACTAACTTTTTGAAATTAATTTCAATGTACGGCCAATTAGAAACAAAAGGCTAAGGTATTGAAGATTGTCATGTCAAGTTTTCATAATTTTTTACACAATCAATCCTTCCAGTTTTTTGAAGGAAGACAGTCAAAGCTACATTCTCTTATGACCTGCATTGCTGTGAAAACAAAGATTTCGAAGCCTTCCTAACTTTCCAAGCGACGTACCATATTAGGTTGGAAAGCTAAGAAGTGGAGATACAATGTTAATATTTTTCCAGAAATTTTCAATAGACAGAACAGTCTTAAATCTGGCATACAAAGTAGCTGAACAACAAGACAGCCCAACCAGCATATTGCAACAACACTATCAACTTGATAGATTAAACTGTACATGCTCAGAAAGAATTGGGTTTTGTGCCATACACTATCGCGAAGATATAAATGTCATATTTTCGTCCGACAAGCTAAAAACAAAGTCACTCGCAAAACATTGAGTGACAACTCCACACTTATTCTCTTCCATAGCTGGTTTGTAATGGAAAATGACATGGGGCATACAATATGAAGTAGAAGAAAAAGTTTATGAATCCGAAATGACTCCTACATTACATGGCGATTATGGATTCGGATTCCTACACATAAACAAATCTGAACGGGTACTCTTACTTTTAAACTATCCAAAGTAAGTCAAGCCGGAGTAAATGCGCCTTCATAGTCTAGTCATGGACTAAACAACTATGATCGAAATGAGCTGAAAACATTTGACCCTTGCGTGACTTTGTTTGTTATTTCGTACACCTTCTTTGCGGGATAGGGAACTCTTTAATTAGTTTTTAGGGCATAACTCCAACAATCTTATCCTAGATTCCTTCCTAGATAACCTCTTAGTTTAATAGGGATTACTCTCCCTACAAGGACTTTCAAGATCTCTATAAATACTCTAGCCTAGGTATTTATCGAGGACTTCTACCTTTCTCTAATCATTATCTCTACGAGGCTTGATATTCTCTACCATACACAACTCTTATACACGTCGCCATCTACGTGAAAATTGAATAAACAGCTCTAAAGCCTGCCAAGCTAAGGCACTATTGTCAAAGATGTATTCTGATGTAGCACACATCACACATACATACTACTTTCGTAGAACTACACCAGTGATTTGATTCTCTTTCACTAGAAATATATAGGCAATTGGATCTGGATTCAGTAATATCCCCCAATAACCCATTTCTCCCCTTGTCGGAGCTCATAAGTAATTTGGACTGGATTTTGTCTCCATCCGTGGAACGGCAAGAATTTGGTTTCAACAAAAGGTGTGTCAGAGGTAAAAAGAGATGTGTGAATAACACCATTTATGTTGTTTTTTGCATTATGTTAGCCCAAAAATGGAGATGGTGTGCAGAGTCGTCCAATCTTTTTTTATGAGATCATATGGTTGGGACTTATGCAACCTTAAGGCAAACACTCTTGAAAGAACCTTCTCCTTCGCAAACCAAAGACGTTCGTCATCGTCGCCGTCATCGATGAAAAGCCAATCAAAGCTTCAATCGACCCCTATCATGAAAGCAAGAAAGCATCGAGCAATTTGTAGACTAGGTTTACCAATTGGTTTTTTGGATGGGTTCAACAATTTTTCTTTCCAATTTTATTAGCTAAGCAAGCTATAAGAGGGACAAAATTTATAGATTTTTTTGACTAAATCGGGCATTTGAATGGGTTCAGGACGTAACCCATATTTTGGGTTTTCACTTTACCTTGTATACAAGAATTAACCAATCGAAAGGCTCCAACAAGGTGACAATTGGTGGACTGAATAAGACCTATTACTGACCAACCGGCTTCATATTAGGCGGTGTGGGCCTTATGGCACCAAACACCTTTCACTTTTGCTAAGGAATAAAGTTCGATCTATGTTGACATTCGTCTACGAAATGTGGTTCGATGTCATCATTTTGCAAGATCCCAATAGCTACAGTATATGCAAATGCATCATTAGTGATCATCTCTTTCTTATTCTAAAGTGCATCCAAGCAAGCATAGTGGACTCAAATCTCTTGATTCTCAAGAGGCAGTTGTGTCTTGTCCAAGGCACTATCGTAATCTAGAATACCTCATGCATTGGAAAAAAAGAGACAAGATTTAGCTAGGATTCGGCTGTGCCATTTTTCTCTTCCTATGAGGGTGTGAATCCTTCAAACTTACTAGTCTGCTTCGCTTCTAGGGCTGGGTAGCTAATTGATTGGCCATCAATGTACTAGCATGTCCATTAGGTGGGGCTGTCCCCGATGAAATACAGTGGGATGCTGTGGATGCAAATTTCTTTCTCCTTGATCTTGGACAAAATTGCACCTACAAAACAATTAATACCTTAGGGTCAAGGTCAAGAGCCTCATGCACCCACGATGAATAGGGGGCTTTGGCCGAAGAACCTCCGATGCCAAAGTTAGAATTTAGAAAGAAAAATGTTTGGAAAGTATTGGGAACTTTGCAAGTGTGTTGGAATAATCTTTTGGTGAAAATGGGAGCCTATTTATAGGGATAGGGTGGTTGGTCCCCTTTGGATGTTTTTTAGGGTGTAACTTATGGTTTAATGTGTGATTTAATGGATTAATTAGGCAATTAATCCATTAATTGGTTAATCAACACATTTTTGGAATAAAGATTTTGGGGGTTATGTAATTTATATGGGATGTTTTGAAGGTTATGAAATAATTACCTTGTGGAAAATATAGGATAATGATAGATGAAATAACTTTGAATTTGTTACCTATTTTGGGCACTTTTGATTTGGTTGAAGGATGATTACCCGCTGCTCGCGCATAGGAACCCTATTGTACCTCAAGGGTATTTTTGCCCTCTTTTGTCCAAAAATCCACGTGTCGCTTTGTGATTATTTTTGGGTCCACAAATGCCCCCACACCTGTTGGGCTGCTCGTAGGAAAGGGCAACATGTGTAGAGATTATCTTGCTTTAGGAAATGTAGGACTGCTTCCTATTTTGATGTAGATTCCCTCTTTAATAGGAAATTAGGTCATTCTAGGAAAGTGAAATAAATTTCTCTCAAAGCCTATTTAAGTCCACCTTAAGTAGGTTATTAAATCAACTTTGAAGAGCGATTTATTCTACCCTACAAGAGAGAGAGAGTTTAGAGGATATTTGTTCCACTTCCTCTAGCAATCTTCTATATCTTGCCCTGCAAAGGACCGTCTTTCGTTGATTTCTTCGTCTTCTCCGTGCTATACCGATGTAAGAAAAATTAAATTTTTTTCTTATCTTCTTCTTGGATAGTGCTATTGTGGGGCAGCCGTTAGGGTGGTACAACACGTCGTCTAGCAGGGGCCAGGAGTCGGCTCGGTATGGGCCGATGAGACATCGTGGCAAGGGCCACTGCTTGGGCTGTTTGGCTTGGCTAGAGCCAAGGGCAACTTGTGCAGCTGGGGCCTTGGATTGTGGCACTGAGGCGTAGTGCTAGGCGAGCCATACAGCTCATGTCCTTTGGGCTCTTAGACCTTACTCGGGCCAGGCTGGCAACTGAAAGAAATGAGGAAGTCGTGGGCCTCATAAGTTGCTGGAATGCTGGGCATGCAGGCCTCCTGCCTGCTAGAATGCTGGGTTGAGCTCATTTGCTGAGTACCGTGAATGTCGTTAGCTGCTTAGTCCTCTTCGTCAGGAAAAAGATAAGCTACCCCCGAAAGATGAGGTTAAAAGGATCAAGGTAGATGCATTGGCTCGTTTGATCGCTGTCATAGAGCTTACTATGAATGAAGGTGGAAAGAAGAGATCTTCCCCGCCTGCTCAATAGATGATGGTTAAGAGAAAACTTAAGACTTATTCCGCTGCTCGTGAAGGTCTGCCTGCTGCCGAGAGGTCTGTGATTGGCATGACTTCTTCCGATGGGAAGAAAAATAAGGCTACTAGATCTGAGCATGT